TTGTTAGTAGAAAATCACACAGACAATTCTAATATGATTTCTAATTAACAAAGCAAGGCACTCAAGATGTTCTTTAGGGTTTGCGCTTTATTAAAATGCAAACTAACCTATATGCAATGACGTGCAAAAATGACATGCGATTAATGAAACCTAGCATGCGAACTATATGACATGCGACAATATGACCTATTTCTAATGATGGAAAACGATGTGTTTTTTCCAATGAAATTCGAAATTAAAAAATGCCTAAATTAACATGCAATCTATTCTAAAAAAAGATAATTTAATCTATCCTAAAGTGACTTCTTTTTGGTATTTTTATGAAAATTTGAAATCAAGAATTACCACTAAATGAACCATCGAGATCAGGATAATATCTAAATTAAACTAGGAAATAAATTACTCTAATTCCTAATTTAAATTAAAAAGTTATCCTATCGACTTATTCAAAGAAAGTTATTCTAAACCTATCCTAAACATGCATCGTTATCTTCCAATAAGATCAATTCAAATCCTAACTAATCTTTTTTTGGGAATTTTCTTTTTAAAGGAAGTAAATCAAATAGATAGATAATCACCACGATCAAAACCAGTCCACGCGATCTGCAAGATTTGTTTTATTATCTTTGAATTAAGGAAACGATATAAACCGACGATCATATCCATGTGGTTATGGATATTGATGGAAGGCTATTCGTTTGAATTTCGGAACAAAATAAAATCTACTATCGTATCCAAATAGTTATGGACAAGATAAAGATTTTCCGTGCCACTAAGTATCGTATCTCATGATTGAGATCGGATAGTCGTCCCGACACGTTGTTATGTTAGGAATTTCCTAACTTAGTGTATTTTTTGGAATCTTGCGAATATGCCATGCATAATTCAAATATATCTACTAACCAACCAAAGACAACAAAATCACTCGAATTAGGAATTTAAATATTTGAAACGATATAGGATAAAGTTTCTTACCTAATTTACGGATAATTTCCAAATTCGAGCTTGATGCCGGATCGGGTTTGCGGATCACGGGACGATGGTGAGTAAACCAGCGGATGGTGGCAGACTCGACGGTGGCTTCACTGCGAGAACACTTGTGAATTTGCTGGACGTTGCTGGAGTTCACATGAAATTGCTGATTTCACTGGTCAACCTGCAAATAATTTACCAAGGAATTCAAAGAATTTGTCCCGGGTTTGGCGAAGTATCACCCGGAGCCGTACACAGTGAAATACAGCACTGCAAACGCTGTAAGAGGTGCAGAAAGGCAGCTCGGGTGCAGCGGGTTACGCTCAATGGCTTCGCGGCACAGCAAATTCGTCGCCGTTGGCTCAAACTGTCGCGGAACGGAGCAGCGGGTTCACAACTGATTACTGGAGCAGAGACATCGTCAAGCGGCTAGGACTGATCGCGGTGGTGCAGCACAGAAGAATAGTGGCAAGCGGCGATCGCGGAGGGAGCTCTTTGGCTGGGAGCATCACGGATCAGCAGCAGAGGACAGCAACGTCGTCGCCGGAACAGGGAGCTCGGCTACGTTGGATTGTCACCAAGGAAGCAGCACCGAGTCGTGGAGTTGGAGGAATTCGGTCGTGGCGGTGAAGACGCACGCCCAAGGAAGAGGACGACTCTTCTCTCCCTTTTAACTCTCATGTTTTCTCTGTGTTTCTTGTGTGTGATCAGATCCAAAAGAAAAAGCCCCCGGCAGCTCTAAATGTGTGGCCCTTTTATAGTGACAGGATATCAAATTTTTAGACAAGGAAAAGAAATATACTCTTTGATTTTCTCTCAATCAAGTGAGATTGATTTTTATTTCTTCTCCTTTTTGTTATACTGCCAATATTGCGTGAATATGGCCAGAGGATCATGCACGAGTTCTTTCTTCTTTATTCAATGCTGATCAATTTTCTTGTCCTCCCCATGTTGACCGAATTTTGCTCAATTTTGCGGCTCAATGCATAATTTTCCTTCCAAGCGTGGATGGGATTCTCCATATGCAAATCGGTGGCCGCGTACACAGTGCTCTTCTTTATATTTGTTCCTTCAAATAGTTAAGCATGCACGAATATACTGGGAATCCACGCCGATTGCATTGTTTGCGACAAAAAATCTTGATAATATCAAGCTTTATTGTTTTAAATATTCATCAAATTTTCCTCACTTGATACACATGATTTTAGCCACTGCGGGCTTAGTCCAATTAAGCTCAAAACCATTCACTCGACTCCATCCGCCGCCAGTCCAATGGAAATGTAATTATATGGGCCTAATTACTAATGTAAACGCTCCTAATCTATATGCAATTTAACTATTATTTTTGTTTAGGGGCCAAGATCAATCCCTAATTTTCTATGCAATGAACGACTAATTAGGTCATCAAAATTTAGGTGTCAACACTATTTATATTTTTAGAACAATTGTCAGTGATTCCACAAAATTTATAATGCAATTTGGTCAATATATACTTTGGAGTAACTCAATTTGGTTTATGATGCGGTAACGAGTGTCATCACATTAAAACCACATCAGAATAAAAAAAATGTTCAATACACACGCATGCGCGTACATAGCGAGATCCAATGATAGTCGCTACATATTGTATTCCCCCTATATACGTATACTCTACATTTAAATAATAGGGGGCAATTTTGCGGAATTCTCTATTTTTGACTATTTCTATTGTTGTGCTCTCTGTGAAAACTTAATATTTATTAGATAAATTGCCAATGTAAAAGCTTTTTTTTACACATTCTCCATTGAATGGATGATATGTGGATAAATTTGGCTACATAATTATTTCGAAGTACATCCAATGATTACATCCAATGATTAATATGTTAAAAAGTTTTTACACTCACGGTGGAACTAATAATAGTCCAGGAAGATTACTTTAAATTACTTTTATCACCAGTAATTAGCTTGTAAATTTAATGTGCTTTTTTACCTCTTAGTTAGGGCTTGTTCGATAAAATTAAAGGTCAATGCTAAAAATTTAAGTAGTGAATTTCAAGTGCTAAAAATAGAATTAATGGTTAATATCACGAAAAACTCCAAACTGGTATATCTGTGATAAATTTACCCCAAACTAATTTTTTGATCACCAAAAACCCTAAATTGGTATACATGTGACAAATTTATCCAAAAATAATTTTTTGATCACCAAAAATCCCAAACTTGTACATTTGTGACAAATTTACCTTTCGTTAAATTGGATTAATACAAAAAAGAAATCACGAACTAGTACACTTATAACAAACGGAGGGTAAAATCCCAAATTAGTACTTCCGTCTACTGCCACGTATCATTTAACTAAGCAATTTGATAGTAAAATTTAATGAAAACTAATAGAGGGTTAGGGGTGATCTCAATCTGGTCCGGTTCCACCGAAGAATTGAGAACCAAACCAAGAGGACCAGTTCCCGATTTTTGGAATTGGGGGCCGGACCGGACCTCCCTGGGACTGGGAATCGGATCGGACCACCGATCCGACCCGGTTAAGGTATGGTCCAATGAAACCGGTCACTTATTGTTCATAACTTTATCTATTTTATTACATTCTAGGTCATTTTGATCAATTTTCCTTGAGACAAAAGGAACACTAACTTCTTTTAATTTTCCACTTCTTCCTAAACAACTCTGTGCTCGGATGCCAGCAATTCTGTTGGAAATAGATCACTAGCAACAGGACAAGGCTTCTGAAACTTGCTTATTGGAGCTAGATGTCTCTCCCTGGTTTTCATACTATCCCTTGTTCCTACAACATTTTCTATGTCATGACCCGGTTCAAGTGATGAACAAGTATTGCCATTTGCTCAGACCCCATTTTCTTGTGGGGGAACAGCAATAGATGGAACCCTGTGTTTCTTTATCTTTCTTAATATATATAGTCAGTTGGGTTCCCCATTGGAATCGGGAATCGGACCGCCCGAACGTCGCTTCCACTTTTAAGAACCGGGAACCAGACCGGCACTCTCGGGAATCGGACCCAACCGACTGATTTGGTCCTGTTAGGGCGGTTCCCAGTTTGGTCGGTCCGTCTGACTCACCTCTACGGAGGGTAACTTTGTCACGTGTGTACTAATTTGAGGTTTTTGGTGATCAAAAAATTAATTTGAGGTAAATTTGTCACATATTATCAGTTTGGAGTTTTTCGTGGTATTAACCATAGAATTAAAAGTAATTTGAGGATGATTACAAATTAATGGCCAAATTTTCATTAATTTCTCATTGAAGATAGAGCAACGACCATTATTATTAGATTTTAGCGATTTGGCAAAATATTAGTTGCCATTAAGTACGCGAAAATGACATAAATGATCTCTAAACTTTGACCTAATGTGCAATATGGTCCATTAATTTTAAACCTAATGTGCAACGTGGTCCATGGACTTTTGGTACATGTTTAAACTAGTCCTTGGACAACATATAAATGTTGATATTGTCCTTCCATTAATTTAAGTTCATGGACAAAATTGAACATCTTCATATAGTTCAAGGACTAGTTTGAACATATACTAAAAGTTCAAGGATCACATTAAATAAATTAAAAAATTCAAGGACGACATTACACATTGAACTAAAATCTAGGGATTGCATTGAATAAATTAAAAATTCTTGGACCATTTGTATCATTATCTCCATCAATTACTTTTGAAAAAAATAAGTGACCTCCATTTACTTACCACATTAAGTGGATTTTTTACTTAATCAAGTATATTAAGTCAACGGTGATTGATATTACCAAACAAGTTCAAATTTCATTAAGCGCCGAGTTTTCAATTTTTCAGCTTTTAATTGGGTTTTCAAACAGACCTTTACTTTATTTTCCTGATACTCGTCTCTCTCATACATGTGTGTGTATATATAGATAATAAAACCTATCAAGGTACATACAATAGTGAGAAATTATGTACCTTCATAAAGTCAATGTGTGTTTGATCTTATTTTTCTTGAAATGTATATTGTAATTGCTTTGGTGCTAGTGTAGAAATCTACCCCAAGTGTGTGCCTCTCCCTCCCTCTCTGCCTCTCTCTCTCTCTCTCTCTCAAGTGACCTGGCAAGAATGGATTTGAAACCCACTGCAACTGCTATTTGTTGTTCCATGTCCCTCCAACAGTGACAGACACCCTTTCCCCTGCTCTCCATTTCAAAAAACCCCCCACGATCGATCACTCCACAGTTCGTAGAACCCCCCAATTGTGCTCGGAGATTGAGGCAGGAGCTTCAAAATTTCGAATTTCGGTTTCTGGGTCCTTGCCCATCTCCGTTCTTGTCCCAGATCTCCAAACTCTCGCCGCAGATCTCCCGTCGATGGAGCTCTGATTGCCGCTCTCCGATTCTGGGTAAGAGCGCAACGGGTCTGTACTGCTCTGTATTTGCCTCCTGAGTTAGCGTCCGGAGAAGTTCTGTGCCCGAATCGTGTCTGAAGCTCCTGATGTGTTATTTCTGTTTCTGGGTTTTGGAGCCGAGGCATTTTCTTGGCTCGAATGGGATTTTTTTTACTGGGTTTCGTGTCGTTGCGGTTGCCATGACCAGATCGATGCCGCATTGTTGGAAGAACGTTTCTTTTTGAGTGATTAATTCTCGTGTGTGTGTGTGTGTGTGTAGGGTGCGTAGATTCTTGCTTAATGCGCATAGTTGTGATTGACGTGCTTTTCTTGCGAAATCCATGCAAACTGAGAATCGATGAAGTAAGAGATACTAGTATGTATAATTTCCTTTTATTGAGTTTCGAGATTCACATGTTGGGCTGGGGATTATGTGCTTCAATGTTGAGAAGGTGGTTTTGAGGCATGCTACAGCAAAAATTTGAAGCTCGTTAATATTTGTCTGACCTTGTGATTTTGCAGAATGTTGATTGTGGCACATTGGCTCACTTTTACTTCTTTTCTCATGATTTCTTTTCCTGTGGGAAGATGACTGATACATGATCTGCATACCTTCTGCCTTCTTTGAGCTTTCAGGAACTTCCAAGTCCCTGTGCCCTTTTGGTTTCGCATTGCATCAAAGCGTCTAGTATAGTTCAGCATCAACAGTTCTATGGATATTGATGACACCATAGCTGATAATGGTTTTGAGGTGGTCCCTCAACATGGTGCTTATGAGCAACTTCCGGCCTGCGAAGGAGAGAGAGTTCCAACTGGTTTTAATGGGGTTACATATGAGACTGGTGCAATTGCATCTGTAAATAAGAGCTTAGAAAGTGTTAAGTTAGATCAGTCTGATGCAAACAAGTCATCGCCTGTGGACTTAAAGGAGGGACCTGTCAATGTTCCTAAGGTATAGACTTCTGCTTTTGCTTAGTTTTTGGAAGTGATACGAATCCTTATGCTTGACTGCATCTATCAATTGGTTCATAGGAAGGAGATAATTTAGATTCAGACCATGCAAAACGTGTGAGAAGCCAGAGGGGTCAAGAAACCAAAAAAAATTACAAACCTACTGCGAAAAATGTGCTGGCACCTGGAGCAAAGAAGAACAAAGACGAAAAGGAAGCAAAAGCGGTTCCAGATGGAAATGGTGCTCCGAATTCCAGTTTAGAGAAGCCTATTAAAAGTAAATCATTTAATGATAAGCAGCCTCGTCTACCCAAGGTGAATGCTTTCTTAAGTGTAGTTTCACCATATTTTGTTTGAAAGAATTAGGTCATCGTTGCTAACATTTGGTTGCTAATCGTTATATTTTGGTGTGTTTTCTTTTGACAGCAAGCTGCAAAATTTGATATAGACTCTTCAGAAGGCTTGAGGTATTCCAATCTTGCCCCAACTTTAACATTTCTCTTGTTGAAGAAATTGTTTGGAATATATCTGCTGCCATTATTACTGCTATGATTATGATGGAGGATAGCGAAAAGGCTTTGAGTGGTCTCTGAATCTTCAAATGCTAAGTTTTATTTATTTGTTTGTCTCCTGCTGTGCGTAAATTTCATGGTTTGTATCAATTACTGATTACATTAGATTTCCTTGGAATTTGAAACTATGAATTGCTTTCAACAGCAGGATTAAAAAAGAGAAGCCTTTGAAAGAAGGATCCGTCATCGAACCTGATGGGTTTCCACAATCTTCCCCGTATCCCTTGCAGATTTTCTTGCAGTTTGATCATATTTCTCTTTCCAGTTGTTGCTTCGCATCTTCAATAATGATCCCTGATTTCATTCTTTGCTGTTTACAATTAGTTTATCCTTTAGATTATTATAGAAATCTTACCGCAGCTGATTCCGGACCCCGTAGAGGGGGTGTACTTCCGAACTATCGGTTCAGCTTTAGGTGTAATGAAAGGGCTGAAAAAAGGAAAGAGGTTAGCTCCTGTCGTTTGCTTCATGTGCAATTGTGTGGTTATCCCAGGCCAGATTGCTGCAGATATGACTTACTTTTTATCATCGTCTTGGGCAGTTCTACTCAAAGCTTGAGGAAAAGATTCATGCAAAGGAAGTAGAACAGACAACCTTACAGGCTAAGTCCAAGGTGGTATCCTTTAGCTTGAGTGGCCATGGAAGTTGCTTGCTTGTTTCATTTGCTTATTTGAGAAGCTGAAATTTGATGTCAGGAAACTCAAGAAGCTGAGATTAAGATGCTGAGGAAGAGTTTGAACTTTAAAGCCACACCTATGCCAAACTTCTACCAAGAACCTTCGCCACCTAAAGTTGAATTGAAAAAGGTAGATTCTCATATATCTGCGAGGCCTCATTATGGCAGCCTTGGAATTAGATTTTGTATGAGCATCATAAATATACCGTCTGTGTTGTGTAGAGATATCTAAGACCTTCTTATAAATGGAGAGAGAGAATGTTTTAGATCATTTTCATTATCAAAAAGAATGGTTAGAGATACCAATGACAAACAAGATTTCCATTCTGTTTTTATAACTATAATGCAACTTTTATTAAAAAAATCTGCAATAGGATTTCTTTTCTTGATCTCTTAAACAAGTATTTGGAATCTTTAACGTCAGTTAAATGTCTTAGCAATTAAGATCCCGAGAATTGGAAAGGGTAACCCAGTTTATGTGCTGAATAAATGCTTCTCTACTTTTCATTCTAGCTTGAATTCTGTACTATTTCATAAATATTGTCTTTCTTTCAGAAGGAATAACACAGGGTGGAACTACAACTATCTGATGTTTTCCTTGGTTGCACCTGGAGCTAGCTAAGTTCCAGCAGTTATCGTACACGTTTGGTGTCTTAAAGTGTGCCAAAAATTATATTTGGAACTGAGTATCTAGCTATTCGAGATCAATATTTCAAGAGCTTTTCCATTAAGTTACCCACTCTCAACTTCTACACATGATAGGAAGTAGGAAACTCTGTAAATAGAATTTAGTATTGGCTATAACCTTGCCAGAACACTATTCTTTCTTTGACTGTGAATTCTCCAGATATCTGCACTGCAAATAAGGTCATGATGCAGAGCTTGTCGGGCCATGTTGCAAAAATTTCTAGTTTATAGATTGTACTTACAAGTTACGAATGATTATCCGTGGTTGTCATACTCCTAGGGTGGATTAATTCATTCCTTTTCTCTTCCCTCTCTTGAATTTGATATATATTGAATTGCTCTATGCTGATTTTTTTTTTAATGTGATATTTGGCTTTTTCTAGCTCTTTCAATTCTTTGCGCTGCATTTCTCTCAATTTTATCATCACAAACTTTTGGATACAAAAATGCTTGTTCTTGTGAGGGTCCAGAACCGTTTCTTGCCCCATTGAGTATATGAATATTATTGTCTAACAGATACCCCCAACAAGAGCTAGATCTCCCAAGCTTGGGCGAAGAAAGAGCTCGTCTACCGAGGAGTCTGAAGAAAATGGCCACGGAAACCGTCCATCTGGTCGTTTAAGCCTCGATGAGGAAATGTCGAGAAACCAACCATCTAGAGTGCCTCCCATCAAATCAAAGAAGCCAATTCGGAAATCGCTCCCTGTACTGCCTTCTGAGAAAATTAAGTCAGCTAGTGTGAGGATTAAAAGTGCCGTGCCTCAAGCAACTCATAAGCAAGAAACTGGCAATAAAGCACATAAGCCGCTTCAGGTGGATGATTCCTTTAGTGACCATCTGCAAGAACATACGCCAATCTTTGCTGAGCTAGCCGAGCCAACTATAGCACAAGAAGGGACAGAATCAGGCTTTATGCAGGAGCAGTAATAGAGCTAGATTGGACTTGTTAGAGCCTTCAACTTGGCAAGAACAGGACGACAAGGGTTATCAGGGATAATTATGCTTGAGGTATGGAAGATTTGCGGAAGAGTCGTGGGTTCTGGCGTCTTTTTGTCTGTGGAAGCATTGGGTTGTTTGTTTTGTACTTGTTCTTGGGATTGCTGGTTATCGTAAGAAATTCTGCATTCCTGCACCTTTGTAAGTTATTGATTGCCCAGTGCTCTCTTTGATTTAGCATTCTTTGGTTGCCTCCCTACTGAAAAAAACAGAAATATTAGGAATATCAGTTGCTGTGAAGTTTAGTGTCGGAACCAATTTGTTGAGTCAGTTGAGGTGTGACAATTGGATATTGTATTTATGTTTTTGAGATTTTTGATTGGCTATATGATTTGGTTATGGTCCTTTGCATCTTCTCTTTCATTTGTCCTTGATTTGATTTAGTATTTATTTCTGAACTTTTCTACTGGATCGTACTTCGAGATAGACGGACAGTAAGAGAAATTAAGAACTCGCCTGATGCTTAGTCTGATATGGTAAGACATTCTGATGCTTCTGCTCCGGGCTCATCTCCTATGTTGGAAGTGCGAGAATATAGTGTTCAGCCATGTTGATGTTTTACCGGTTAACTGACATGGTTGTGCATAAGCACAGCACACCTTTTGGCTTTTCATTGTGGCATTGCGACTTTATTGTCTGGATTACTTCAAATCGGGTGGATTTAGAACACAACTTCTCTTTCTTGATCCTGTATTAGCTATCACTTTGGATTGAATCCAAACGATTCGTCATTTATCCCTTTTCCTCCCTGAAGAACGATGATATCTAAGACTCTTGTTGGTAAATTCATTTCAAGAAGAAAACCGATTGAAGATTTTTAATGCTTTGGAAAGCTTCCTAGTTGGTATCTTACATGCAAGTGTTTTCTGTTTTTTTCCCAACGATGAGAGTAGATGGAAAGGTATCTTGCCTGTTCGGTCTACAATGTTCTAGTCTTTCTTTTTTGGCTAAAAAATGTTCTAGTCTTTCAAAGCTGCCTTAGAGATGTTCCGAGATGGTGACAGACTTTTGCTTTTCTAACTCACCTCTATAACGCTTGATCTTCAATTCCTTGCATTTCTCATCCTGAGGTCTAAGCTAAGATTTGAAAGACAGCTTTCAAAAACTAAGACCTGAAGAACATTGGGGACGTACTGTGCTGTTGCACGAACACGAGTCGTACTTTCATCTCTGAATTTATCATTGGGAAAAAGAAAGTTGTATGAATCTATGAATGGAGGCAAGAAAGATGATAGTTTTAGAGGCCACATCATGGTAAATGAAATTCCATATTGGCATCACAAGAAGGACAAGCCATCTTACATCTTGGGAAATGCCACCAGTAGAAGCAACGGGCGCAGGAAAGCACAAGCTTGATGTTGCTGGAGATTGACATTTCATTGTACAGGTACTCTCTTTGGTACTGCTCAGGTCATTGTTGGAGTAATTCTGAAAAGAGGGGGGTAAAAATGAATTGTCGTCTTCTGAGTCCTCAACTGCCAGCTGCTCTAAAAATGAAGAGCTCTATGAAAGAGGAGCCAACCCAAAGTTAGATACTGTTTTTTTTTTTTTTTTCTCTTTTAGGTTAAAAGTGTTGATCAGATGATCTCTGCAACTTATGATTGTGGTCATCATCTCCAACTAGTAGCTATACAGTCACTGTCATCTACTCTGCATTTAGAGTGTTAAGTTTGGAACAGGCATAAGACTCCAGTGGGAATAATGAAGTTCTTCATGCTAAAGCCTCATCATTCTTCCACAAGGTAACTCCCATTAAAATACTTGCAAGAACTCATCTTCCACAAGTACAAGCAAACTAGAACACCCCCCCCCCCCCCCCAATCCGACCAAAAAAAAACAAAAACTTAGAACCCCCAAAATGATAAATTAGAAAACGAGGAAAAAAGAACAAAAACAAAAGCTAAGAAAGAAGAATGACCCAGAACTCAAAACGTAAGAGACAGCCATGTGAAACCACAAATCTTCCCTTGAAAGGACCAGATCACATCCATCACTGCAATTACAGGAAAAGAGCAGATGGAACCTGTCCATTTTCGATGCTCTTTAGCTAGATTCTGTACAAGTGAATTGATGAACATTCATATGAACGTACTATAGATGTCACTTAACTTAGTACGTGAGGAAAATTACAGAGTTTGATTTATTTAATCAAGGTTGAAAAAGCTTGTTGCCACATTTGCACTTCCAAGTGAGGAGGTAGTAGCTATCACTTCCCTCATGGCTTGAAGCCCCAACATCTTCTGCTCCTCCACCTCCTACTGCTGGAGGATGAATCACCAGAGTGGCCATGCATGGCCTGCAACTCAAGCACCTGTTGACACATATCGGTGGCCTTGAACCCACCATCTCTCTTCTGATCTTCAAAACTTCAGTCACTTCTCCCACTACACAACAAAAAATAAGTCAGACCAAAGCAAGATTTTGATCAGATGACCTCTTCAACTTATGATTGTGGTCATCATCTCCAACTAGTAGCTATACAGTCACTGTCATCTACTCTGCATTTAGAGTGTTAAGTTTGGAACAGGCATAAGACTCCAGTGGGAATAATGAAGTTCTTCATGCTAAAGCCTCATCATTCTTCCACAAGGTAACTCCCATTAAAATACTTGCAAGAACTCATCTTCCACAAGTACAAGCAAACTAGAACACCCCCCCCCCCCCCCCCCCCCAATCCGACCAAAAAAAAACAAAAACTTAGAACCCCCAAAATGATAAATTAGAAAACGAGGAAAAAAAGAACAAAAACAAAAGCTAAGAAAGAAGAATGACCCAGAACTCAAAACGTAAGAGACAGCCATGTGAAACCACAAATCTTCCCTTGAAAGGACCAGATCACATCCATCACTGCAATTACAGGAAAAGAGCAGATGGAACCTGTCCATTTTCGATGCTCTTTAGCTAGATTCTGTACAAGTGAATTGATGAACATTCATATGAACGTACTATAGATGTCACTTAACTTAGTACGTGAGGAAAATTACAGAGTTTGATTTATTTAATCAAGGTTGAAAAAGCTTGTTGCCACATTTGCACTTCCAAGTGAGGAGGTAGTAGCTATCACTTCCCTCATGGCTTGAAGCCCCAACATCTTCTGCTCCTCCACCTCCTACTGCTGGAGGATGAATCACCAGAGTGGCCATGCATGGCCTGCAACTCAAGCACCTGTTGACACATATCGGTGGCCTTGAACCCACCATCTCTCTTCTGATCTTCAAAACTTCAGTCCCTTCTCCCACTACACAACAAAAAATAAGTCGGACCAAAGCAAGATTTTGAGCAACAAGAAAGCAAAACCGGTCAATGACTTCAACTGCTAGGTACTAGGATTCTTCACTGTAGGGAAATCCTTGTTTTCTGGCTTTACTCACATTTTCACTCGAAAGAGAGTGACATGTGCTTCACTTGATGGGCATGCTTTTGTTTTGGACAGCGTAATGAATAAAAGTTTGACGTTTTTACCTGTTAAGGGAGAGAGACAGAGCAGGAAACAAGCAAGGAGTACAGTAGCTTTTAGCCCACTTTGGTGGTATTGGTAGTAAATTGATGAAGCCATCACTCGGAGACACTTTGATTGATTCCCACCAGATCCCGCGCTTCTCTCTGCAACTTTGCTTGTTGGGAGGGGACAATTATGTTAATGAAGTCGCTGCTTGAGTTAACAGAAAAAACAACTGTTGATAAGGATGGTTACTTTTCTCTGTTTTTTTTTTTGTTCTTTTACGGTGCATGGAAAACTGGACAAAAAAATTGAATGGTTGAAGGGTAGTTCAGGGACAAAGTTGGTCACTGTTCCCATCACAGTGGACACTTCTGTTGCTGAAGTTGCTGGCTCAGTAATTAATTGCCACCCTCAGTGTACAGCGGTCATGAAAACGACTCCATTCCTGGTCTACCGGAGATTTTCTCGCATGGGAAGAAAGAAGCCAAAGCAAAGCCAGAGAGAAGGTAATAATATCACGTGTTTCTTCATTTCAAAACACTACGGTCCAGGCTCTGGTCTCCATCAGTTAAAAGGAACCTTCTTTGTTTTAACTTTTATCAAGAGGGCATGTAAAAGCTTTCCACTGAACATAAAGTGAATCGAGAACAGTTTTCAATATCAAGAATCATCATGAAGGTGTGCTTGAAGTAGGGATGAACTGTATACTATACCAAATCATGACAGTTTTATCTAATCGAAAGAGCTATCGGCAACCTTCTAAGGTTGGCACAGTTTGTTTGGGTCTAGACAATTTCCATATTAGGAATTACAAGTCATCCAATCAAATCCACTGATTGCATGCAGATTATTTCTGGATCAGGACCGCCTGCATAGGTCAAAAGCTTGAATTTAATCAGTTTGTGAGGTTTGTATTCATGAATTTTTAAGTAACCTAGTTTATGCGCTCATGTTCCTGGATTATAAAAAAGAAGTTTTTTTAAGTTCCTCCCGTATTTTAAATTTAATGTTTGTACCGAACCACTTCTCCAAAATATGTCAAATCTTCAAGAATTTTCTTTCCTCTAAAATGTTTGATAACTCTCTTTTACTCACATTACAGATGCCAATTATATTTGATCATAGTGATGTTCCTTATTTACATTACATCATGCCAATGTTAAGACATTATAACTCTTAAACTCGTTGTATAGTTAAGGCATCTTAAGAAAAATGTCACTTTATATCAACTTTGGGCTTCGTATGTGTAGCGAAGCTTCGTATGTGTAGCCAAAAACAAGCAATTTGGAAAATGTTTTTCTTAATTTCAATTTGAAAAAAATAGTCAACCAAAAGTATGTTCATCATTAACTACAATCTACGTCTAAATATTTATTAATAATAAGAACATTTTTTATTCTTATTTTCCTAAGTGACATAAACAATCAAAATTAAGAATTTCTTATCTAAATTGTTGATTTTTCGTGAAATAAATGAAAACATGATAGGGAATATATTTCACGTTTCTTACTATATCTTGTCAGCTGTTATACATTACACCACAACTTGTGTGTGTATATATATGCATTCAATAAAAAAAATGCACGGACTGGACTACATTACGAAATTTTTTGTGAATAAAAGTTAAATCCATAATAGTTCTCACAGTTTATCCCCTCTCTTCCTTCGGTACGGGTATTTTGTGCTTCAAACCATTATAATCAAAGGCAATCAACTATGCAATTAACCAAGTAATCGTGTGGCTTGACAAGGAATTTCGTCACCTTGTGACTATTATAGTTATGGGGGGCCGTTTACATAGGCTTCGGTCATCGGCTCCACTGTCATCAGGTCACCATTCAAGGAAAATTAGAATGTCCCCTCTCTCAATGGATTAATCAAGAGCAAATTCACATTAACGTGTAAGACCCTAAGGACGATAAAGTAATCTAAAATTAGGGGAGCTTCTATGATATCGCGATTTCGAATATTTATTTACATTACCAATTTGTTATATCATCTTCTTTACATCATATTCGTTCATTTCATCTTTTATTCTCACTGTACAAAAAAAGATCATGATATGTGATGAAGGACACTGATGAGAAGTGTAATGTGACTACACGTTGCCCTCCTTTTCCTTCTCCAAGTTGAATTCAAACAGCCTGGGGCCTCTTCTCTCTTAACGTCCAATCCATCTTCTGCTGCAATTGTCAGCCAATTAAAAAGTACACTCTTTGACCACCTCGTGAAAATTCATTTTGTGCCGTTTTGTCTCTCACGAGTCACGAACTCAATTCCCTATGCAAGTGAATTTTTGGTATAATTCTTGAAAGAAATGATTAATATTACGAAAAATTCCAAACTGATATATTTATGATAAATTTATTTTAAATAAATTTTTTGATCACAAAAAATTCCAAACTAATACATCTTTGATAAATTTATCTCAAATTAATTTTTCGATTGCAAAAAATCCCAATCTGGTACACATGTGACAATATTTTTAAAAAATATTTTGAGATTCATTTATTTTATAAGCGATACAATCCATCATTTTTAAAAAAATATTTTTCGAATTATTTATTTTCAGTAAAATAAATGGAGCAGTAATTTATGTATTTTTTATTGAGGTGACCTGACTTAATCATTTTCCTTCACAAAATTTGAATGGTTGATTCCTTGTAACTACTAGTTAAGATATACGATGATAATCACTGAAATAACAACAATTTGTCCCATCTGATTTACCTAGTCAACAAAGCAGATTTTCTTAGCCTTTCTGTCATTTTCTTTTTTATCCTTTCATGTGTTGGTACATATTTATTATCATAAATCTATCATCTCATTACTTTTAGAATATTTGCCCTTTTGTGTAAGTTTTCCAACTTTAGCAATTTAAAAAGGCTGTGCTTTTTCCACACATTCTGTAATTAAAGCACTCCTCAATGTAGTGTTACAACGATTTTACCCTTCATGAGTCTCGCCTTTACTATGAACTTCCCATCCCCTCCAATAGAGTTGAAGAGGACGCGATAGAGTCACGGTAAAACACCACCTTGAAAAACATAAAGAAACACCACAGCTTGAATCTCCAATTCAATTACTGAGAAGCTTTTTCACCATATTCAAGTAAGAAACTAGAAAACAATCCAAGCTGAAAACACCACATCGAAAAATAAATCGAAATAGAGATACAAAAATTTCTCCTCCTTAGTACATGGGATTAGCAAGTGGGGTCAAAAGAATTTCTTTGAACTCAAGTCGGTCTTCAAGAAAGAGAAAATGAAGGTTGTGGCAGAATGCTTTGACTCCTTGTCAAGGCACTTGGCAATATAAATAACTTAAGGGTAACAAACAATTTGATCATGATGTAAAGAAATTGTACTCCTTGACCTTTGCCATGTCCACACGGACTTTTCCTTAACCCTCACCACTCGCTCTGTCAGTGGCGGCAAATTCAGAGTGACGTGGAGGTCCTGAGCTTCGATCAACGTCACCTATAGGTACCATAGCTTTGGAGATTGGTAGACCTTAGAGCACGTCCGAGGCACGTACAGCACGTCCGAGCTCTACGCCTTGGGTGCCAATCAAGACGGAAATTTAGATGTTGCCGGAGATGCGGCTCTTCTCTACTGCGTCACCGCCCTCAAGGCGGTACCATAGTGGATCCAGCGTATTGTCCGACAGATCGCGGACTAGCACATTGGAGAAGCCGAAGCAGACCTGCCCAAAAAGATCTTCGACGGCGAGTCCCGGCAGAGATCTACAGCGTGGAGCCTTGCCAACTCGAGCTTGTTGTGGCCTCACAATTCTGAAAATACCACCCTCTAAATCCTCCTCAACTTTACCCGAGGATACCACGTTTCACAAAAAGCTTGAAAGCAGGATTGCTTGCAAAAGAGAGAACGGAAAAGATGAAGGAAATTGGGATCCACAATAAAAGAAAGGAAAAAAATTCAATGCATAGTAATTCTCGGATGGTGAAAGGTGGGACACATGAAGGGTAAAATCGTCAGAATAGTGTATTGAGAAGTGTTTTAGCCAATGAAGGAGTGGAAAAAGCGCGACTCTTTAAAAATTAAGAAAGTAAAAAAATTTATTAACATTAAAATCTACAATATAAAATCTATAATTTTTAATATAAAGTGAAGAGTCTCTCCTACTTTTAAGGGATTTTAATATTTCTGTTCCCCAAATATCTTTGAATAATTTACAAATATTGTGTCCATGGACGATGATAATTCTAATTTATTTCTCACATGTTTCAATAATAAAATTTGAATATTTTCTATCCCACAACAAATTTCTTGAAAAGAAATTCAAATCTTGATATATCTTTCTCTTTCGGAATATATTTCTCTATATAATTTGATCATATTATGTGTTTTTGTCAACAAATATTTCCATCAAATTTTCGTGTGCATTTGCTAGTATAACAATAAGCATTAAATTATCCGCTAAAACCCACGGCTTCCCGCCTCCGCCTAGTCGTACGTGTGGCACGCTAGCCCGGTGTGTCGCCGACGGCGGCAATGGCATCCCAACATTCTCCGTACCGGCAATGGCGACTTCACTCCGAACCCCATAGACCGCGCCTTCATTGTTATGGAATGACAGAAATCAGTATGGCTTTTTGACAAATTTCTGTATCAGGAATTGGCCAATCTCCACCTCTCTAAAAATGTCTTCCTTTTGTGCTTAAAGTTTATCAATCAGATAGAATGTATGACCAAATGATATATTAAGGCTAGTTTTGATGAGATTAACACAATCTGCTTATGTTTCCAGGTAAAAGAGACCGTTTATCTGCTGTCTCTGCGATCTTCGTCACAAATTCGGACCATCCCTTCAGGGCACTAACGCATACTTCGCATGCTTATACTCGAAGAAACATGGTAGACTAAACACTAATAGTTAAGCAACATCCCTTTAACGTCTTGGGACAATCTTGGATCGATCTTCTAAATTTCATTGCACCTTTCTTCTTAGCGAAGCCGAATGGCGATAAAGCATAAGACTCGTCCTTATCGTCGACAGCTTTCGAGCAGTGAAGAAAACAGTTCGATTGTTGTCGTCGTCGTGAGTGGTACTGGTTAGCGATTCGAATTTTTGGTAAAGTTGATAGCAGCCTTACTTTTAGCAACCACCGCGACAAAAACTACTACATTGAACTGGAAAGATAACAGTCTATCAACAGTTAAGTTCCATATCTGATGTGACTCCGTATCATATCCTCAGACCATTCAAGGTTACTTTGAATCAACTAGGGAGGGAGCACAAGGACCAAGGCCATGAAATGAACAAGCAAGCATCCATTCACGGGTAAAACAACTGCACATCTATGAGAACATGAACAAATACACTGCTTTTATTTCACGTGACAAACTATAACACCAACATATAGACGGGGTAGATTCTAACGAGGTGCGGCGAAATGGTTGGAGAAACTATCCACGCCCCAATACCCGGAAAACCAAGGCTCGGTTAGAAAAAACAACCTCACATCAAGAAGGTTGTGATGGCAGACTGCGTGAGCAGCTGCCATGGCCTGAGCCCTAGAACACCAAGGCATTGTAAGTGTGAAAAGCAACTGCGACCATCACCAAAACTCTGAAGAATGACCCACCCATGACATACAAGGATCTGGAACAAGAAAGACCTGTCAGAACCGAAATATTCCTGTAAGTGCAAGGATCCAGAAGCGGAGAAAAGCCGATCGTGAGCAGCATAGTTGACCAGCATGATCCCGAGCTAAAACAGCAGATACCAACCCGGGCATCATAAAAACTCTATAGAAACTGATGATGAACTAAACCAGAACATGGCCGGGATATTCTCAGGAAAATCTGGCCATAAACGACTCCTGTTGTTTTGGGGAGGCAAAACTACGAAGAACAGATTCCCAATTCCGAAACCTGCCAAAAAGAAGGCCATATTCCCTGAAAAAAGGACCAAGCACTGGATTACTTCACCCATATCCGCTGGATCCTGAACCCAAAAACTAACACAAACTGTAGCTGTCCACATATGCCGAGTTGAATTCTAAGTCTTCATAATAAATAAATCCAATCGTCTGATGAAACTGCAATTTTCATCCACTCCCAATCAAGCGAGAATATCACACCTCCAAAGCTCTTCCAAAAGCAGGTCGACCGAACGAGTGCTGATTGCAGTGCAATGTTGGAGATTTAAGCCTAAAAGAGTGCGGCCCACTTTCTTAAGAGCAGGCAAGCACTTGTCTGACACCAAAGAGCAACCAGACATGGAAAGGACTTGCAAATTCAGTTGACTAGAGCAAGCCAATGCCGTCAATCCAAAATCCGAAATTGCACACTTCGAGACATCGAGATCAGATAGCAGTTGGCAATTTTCTGCGATAGCCAGCAGGCCCAGATCACCAATTTTTGTGCAACCATCCAGAATCAGTGCCTCAAGGGTCCTACCATGCAACTTAGCCATTGCTGAAACCACTCGATCCGTCAGGTTGATGCATCCACTGAGGTTAACCTTCACAAGACCATCCTCACAGCATTCAAGCAGTCGTAAAATCCCTTCATCCGTTATTCCTGTAATCCCACTCAATTCTACTTGCTGCAGATGTGGGCAAATCTTCCCAAGTGTCACCAAGCACGCATCAACAAAGCCTGGGCAGTTGCGAATGGAGAATGAGCGCAGGGACTTGCAAGAAGACACTTGAGGTGATCTAAAATCAAAGCCCTTAAATCCCCAGCAGTTTGTCAAAGCAAGGGATTTTAGTTTATCCCCACAATCAACGAGAAGACCAAATAGTCCAGACAGGGTAATCCTGTGGCACTCCTCCAATTGCAGGCTCTCGAGTGAACTTGCTGACTTCATGAGAGAAACAAGGCCACCATCTGATAGGAATGCAGATGAACGGATGCATAACTGCTTAAGATTAGGGCAACCTTTCCCCAGAGATTCAAGTCCCAAATCAGTAGCACCCCGACAAGCAGCGACTATCAAAGACCTCAACCTTTGCAAACCATGACCATTGCCCATGACCCAAAACCCTCTCTCAGTGACATTATGAAGGCTGGTAAGGGTTAAATCATTAACAGCCGTGGCATAGTGCCCAATGACCGCAAGAGATACATCAGTTATGTTTAATGCCTGCAATTTGACCTTTGTTAAGGCACTACCAGCCCTAGAAATCAGACCAACAACGCCCTGATCTGAAACACCGGGGCAATTTTTGATCGAAATGGACTTCAGATTCTGGCAGAACTGTCCAACAGCTGCCAAACCTTCATTTCCAATGCTAGAACAAGTCTCTATTGATATGTTGGTCAAATTAGGGCAATTCCTCGCAACTGCGACCAAAAATTTGTCGGTAATTTGGGGACAATGGCAAAGATCTAGCTTCTGAAGCTGACGACAACCATTTGCAATCTCGAGTAAACCTTCATCTCCGACAGAAGATAAGTGCCAAAGGGACAGGGCCCTAAGGGAGGGGCAACCGTGTGCAATTGCCCCAAGACCAAGTTTCGTCACCCGGGATGACTTGCTTCCCCTGATTGAAAGTTTGCCCAATCCCCCACGATCAGCAGTCCCCACAGCTATGGCAGCAAGACGAATATCAGTAGCCTTTTTCCCTTCCAAGCTCCTAGAGAGAAATCCATCGTCCTCAGAGACCACTTCCTCTCCCCCACTAGTAGGAGCCAAATTGTTCTGTGATCTGAGTTCATTGGGACATATGTTGCTTAAAAGTGTGAGCCAGCGCTTGGATACACAAGCACAGGCACTCCTCTCCTGGCCTCCTGGCAACCTTCTGAATATCTCAAAGAGACACTCATCTGGAAGAACTTCGATTGTGTCCTGCCTTTTCTGCTCGAATAGGTCCTCACTGAAAACAAATGGAGCGTTGATGCGGGACCTCTTGCGAGGAGGAAAATATACGTCCACATGTTTACCAAGGGACAAAAAGAGGCTAGCTTCCTTTGGGCTTGGGTATATTGACCCCCCAGAGTAAAAATCCTCACCTCCTGAGAAAAAAATGAACGTGTTCAGGTTACAAATTTGACCACCGCTATGTGACCTTCAAATCATAGATCCACGGTTCACATATGCTTTTCACTTCTTCAAATAATTTTATTCAAAATTACCTAAAATTCTTTTAAGTGTTGTACCGGATCAAGGTTCAAATTTTCAAGCATCTTTCAATTATCAAAAACAAAAAACAACTCATAATCTATATAAGGTCACAACTGTGATTGACCTTCTAAATTAAGCTAAAGGGAACGACACAAATCCTAGAAAAAAGCTGAAACCCAAAATCCTCCACAATCAGCTTATCCTAATATCAATTAGCTTATCACTAACAGACAAGACCAATTCAGCTTATCGCAAAAATCACAACAAAGCTGAAGCAACTACATATAGATCAGCCTATTACCAAACCCAAATCAAGCCAAGTTCCTCCAAATCCCATAAAATATGTTTCTAAGCAACTACGTCCCCTGAAAAACCTAAGTTGAGCTATCATCTAGAATAAGTAACACCTAAATAACCTAAAAAGAGCAGATTTTGAAGCAAACCCACGAACGCCAACGATGGATCGAGCACAAACACCGAAGCAAGAAACAGTTTCACAGGGCAGAGCTCGGGGTCTTACCAGTGAATCTGAGGACCTTTGACATGGGGACGGGTCCAAGAACTCTGGGAGGCGGATTCCGAACCGGTCTCGACCCAACAACCCTCGAGAGAGAGTGCAAAAAGGGCAGATCCCGCGACTATCAAGAAGGTCAGGGCGAGTTGCAGAGCTTGCGGGCAAGAATGCATGAGAAAGGGGAGGGCGGCGAAGAGAGGGGAGATGGCGAGGAACCCTATCAGATAGGGCAAAAAGAAGAGGAGAGGAGGGGGAGAGGAGGAAGGGAAGATGGAGAGGAGAACGATGGGAGGTCTGCGTATACGTAAAGACGGGAGCCTTTTATGAATGGTGGTGGGGGAGGAAGCTGTGACATGACAGAGAGAGAGAAAGAGAGAGGGAGAGGGGAGGTTAGGGGAGAATAATGAGACAAATGCAATGCATTTGCTTAAAGAAAGTGTGTACAAATCCAATGTAAGGTGCATTGCACCTGTGCATGGATGGTGGCAATTTGCTGAGTTTAATATTACTCTCTCTCTCTCTCTTTTGTTTTGTTTTGTTTTTGCTTTTTTGTTTTTTGAGTGTTTTGGGTGCAATGGATGGGAAATCCTTGGACAAAATTGTCTACCCACGTTTTCTCACGAAATAAAAAAAAAGCTCGCAAAGGGACGGACACGGTGGGCAGGACCTTCCCCCGACCCCAACGACACGAATTTTTCTTATAAAAAATGGGGATAGGGATTTCGGTGAGGTGGGGCGTACGGGGCGAGCCATCGCCCCGTTTATCTAATACATTAAATATATGCGCCGTTTAACATAAACGACAATCAATTTAATTAGGGGGCTTCCTTGGATCCTTGGTGTTCAGTATGAAGGGGAGCTTTCGCTCCTATAAGTGTCTTCGTGGCCTGTTCCCAACCTGTGGAGCGGGCTCTATGGATACGTTCCTTGTTTTAACATACTGGTACCCGTGCGTTTCGTACCCCTACTTCCCCCCGAATCTTTTTCTTCCCCAGAGGGAGGGAATACCCTTTAGAAGTTTTGATGCCGAAGCGCGATAGAAATTAGGCTAAACAGAAGAATCGAAACGATAACGAGGAACAAACTGTTCTTTCAATCGATTAACAATCGATAAGTTTTCAAAACATCCAAAAACTACTGCCTCTCAAAACCCTAAAAACGAGTTTATAAAGGGTGTTAACCCTAATGACAAAAAAAAACGCAAAAAATACAAAAATACCCTTAATTCGAAAATTACTAAAATAATTAAAAAAAACCATCTAAACGACCCCGAATCGTAAAAATCCATCGTTAGTCATAGCCAAAGGATATGAGTATTGATCAGCACGTCGTTTCGCTTCAGCCGACCAAATTTGAGCTCAATCCGACATTATTGACTTCAAGCCCGCCGGTTTGTCCAATCGCATAACGGGTCCGCCGGTCCCCTAGGTGCATCATCCTCCCCTGCTAGAGAAAGATTCGTCCTCGAATCTGCTTCGTCATCATTGTCATCAATCTCTTCAGGGTCTTCTTCCTCTTCAGTGTAGTAAGGTGACAAATCTGCTACATTAAAAGTTCCAGAAACATTGTGCTCACCCAGCAATCCAGGTGGCAACTCTTCCGGTACGACATCAGCAAACTCCTCAAGCAAGGGCAGAACTTAGGTAGGAATTTCGAGACTGTCAGAATTCCGCTCCATCACCACAATGGCAAAAAGCTCAGGCGCGTTCACTGCTTCTTCTAGAAATTCTGACCTGGACAGCAAATTATTTTTCACTTCCTTTCTCAAATCTGAAGGACCTAGGGTAATGGTTCGGCCATCCTTCTTGAAGGTATAGGTATTTCTGAAACCATCATGCTGTGTCTTTCTGTCAAACTGCCACGGCCTCCCCAATAAAATATGGCAAGCATCCATTGGGACTACATTACACCACACCTCATCGATGTAATTTTTTCCAATCGAAAATTGCACAAGACACCTTTTGCTCACCTTCACCCTGTTCCCTTTTCTAAGCTACGACAGCTTGTATGGTTGAGGATGATCTTCTGTTTTCAACCCCAACTTTTCCACCATAGTCGTGGACACCACATTCTCGCAACTCCCACCATCTATTATCATGCTGCATACTTTTCCTCTACTAGTGCACTTAGTATGAAAAATATTATGTCTAAGCCATGATTCATCTTCCTGCTACAGCAACATTTAATATTCTTCTAACGACTAGGGACTCACCAGAATCAGCATAGATAATCTCTTCCTGTTCCGCATCCGCATCCTCTTCTTCGCCTTCAGATTCATCATAAACTGGGCCTTCATAAAAAACTGGATTATCAACAAGCATCACAATCTGTCGGTTCGGACACTCAGCAGCAAAATGCCCGAATCCCTGACACTTGAAACACCGCTTGGCTGCAGTTCCTCCCCCTGCTAGTTCAAGACTACTCGCCCCTCGTTGGATGCGGGTTTAGAACTCACATCCTTAATCGTGACCGGTGTCGAATTTACCTGCAGATGTTCCCGCTTTTCCTTGGGATTCTTTATCGACCACTTGGAACCCGCCCGACCACTTAGAATTACTGCTCTTTCTTTTAAACTGCCCCTCCACCTCTAGGGCTAGTCTACACACATCCTCATATGTCCAATACTGCTCCAATACTGCTGTAATTGGACAACATCAGAGATCTCATATCGCAGCCCTGCTAGATATCGTGCAATCGTCTGCTCGTCTTCCTCCGCCACATCACAACGCATCCGCAAGCGATCAAATTCTTCTGTAAATTCCTCAACTGTTTTATCACCTTGCTTGACGTTATGATACTCGATAAACGCCTCTTGCCTATAATGGATAGGCAAAAAAAAATTCTGCAATAACTTTTTCATCTTCTCCCAGCGGTTTACTTTTGATTTCCCCTCTCTAGCACGCTGCCTTTTCACATGCTCCCACCATATCGAGGCATGTTTTCGTAGCCTAATAGCCACTAATTTAACTTTCTGCTCTTCAGTCAGATCCTTAATATCAAAGATCCTCTCTACTGTATGTAACCAATCAATAAACTCATCAGGATGAGCCTTACCATTAAATTCAGGAATCTCGATTTTCATCCCGAAATTTTGAGAAGAGCGTTGATTTCCAGGTCGTACTCCTCGATTCCGCCCCTGGTTCATAACCCCGAAAGGATTTACGTCCTCCTCTTCATCATCGGATGGATCCTCAGATTCTGCTTCTTCTTCGGATTGAATGCCCAATCTCACCACCGCAAGTTGTCGCTCCAAATCCTGGATTCGTCTTCTCTGTTCTTCAATTTCTACGTCTCGCAGATCTCTTAGACGCGGTTGGTCGTCTGCTTCAGGAACGCCTCCACGCCCCCGGCCACCACGAGCCCGCGTCCATGACCGCGATTCTGTTCAGCCATTGATTCAAGCAACCTGTGCTTTGATACCAATTGATGCCGAAGCGTGATAGAAATTAGGCTAAACAGAAGAATCGAAACGATAACGAGGAACAAACTGTTCTTTCAATCGATTAACAATCGATAAGTTTTCAAAACATCCAAAAACTACTGCCTCTCAAAACCCTAAAAACGAGTTTATAAAGGGTGTTAACCCTAATGACAAAAAAAAACGCAAAAAAATACAAAAATACCCTTAATTCGAAAATTACTAAAATAATTAAAAAAAACCATCTAAACGACCCCGAATCGTAAAAATCCATCGTTAGTCATAACCAAAGGATATGAGTATTGATCAGCACGCCGTTTCGCTTCAGCCGACCAAATTTGAGCTCAATCCGACATTGTTGACTTCAAGCCCGCCGGTTTGTCCAATCGCATAACGGGTCCGCCGGTCCCCTAGGTGCATCAAGTTTTACATCCCGATTAGAATCAAGATAGAGCTTTTTAAGGATTTGCTCATGTCCTATAAACTATATTAATATGTGCCTTATCAAAATAAATTTATGATATTAAATTATCCACTTAAAATTACGATTTTTCGTAATAACTCTACATAATCTGTTTTGTAAAGAAATTTTCATTTAACTATTACATTAATTTATATATAACATTAACGTAAGTTACCCAAGCATTAAAATGATATATTTCTATTATTAACATGTATACTATACTACAATTTAATCGAAAGAACAATATAACAATATTAGCAAATAACTTGAAATTTCATTTAATCAATCTTGGCAAAAAGAAAGATGCAACTACATGATAATCATCTATTTCTATAAGCAGCTTAAGTATGAAAAGGCATTTGTTAAAAGTAAAATGTAAAAGTCATTAGTCAACTTGATTTCTAATAATAGTTACAATTTTCCTTTGTAATTAACATATCTAAAACTACATTTGTCCCTAATGGAATATTGCGTTAGTTGACATTGTCAAATTTATAGAAATGTTTGTAATACCCATGCCAATAGCTTACCATAGGAAGAAACATGGATATAGTTTATATGTAATTATAAATATCGCAAAAATATTCTCGATGCAGTTTTCATTCTCTATCAGGTTGGTTTCTTGAATGTCTTCATGCCTAATTTAGCACCTAATTTCCTAGATATATCAAGTAATCTTAGAACAGAAAAAGTCCTAGAGATGATGTAGACCAAATTTTCTATGTTAATTAAAACATTCCAACTTCATGGTAGTGTCTTGAAGCCCTTTATGCCCAGCTCGCTAGCAATGTTTTCTAAAGCCTCTTTGAAGACATTTGATAATTATAAACATAAAGGCATGTAACTTGGCTTCACAATCACTTTAATAAATTGACAATTGAATTCTATGTACTTGATAAATTTGAATTAGTAGCAATGCTTAAGGCTGCTATATTGTCAACATCCACTTTTTAACAGAAGGCAACCTTGAGATTCCTCGTTCTTTGAGCACATGGCTATCGGGGTGGTTGATCGAGTTGGTTTAGGCTCATTCTCATGTGGTTTAGAGTCCCTTGTTCACAAGTTTAATCTTCTAGTCGACCCTCAAATTTCAGGAAAATTTTAAATGCAATTAAGGCATTGGTTCGACTCATGCTATGTGCAAAAGAATTTTGATTTCTCTAACTCGCATTCGATGGTATAGCTATGACGAGCTCACTCAAATGATTATCCAGCTACGAGGGGGGAACTCCTATAATAACTCTCGGACTGTTGCTATTGCTGATCATCGCATCTTGCCCTTTTTGCTAGTGATAAACAATATTAAGTTATCAGTCTTCATATACTTTAACGAGATATATAATGTAATGATAATTAACTTTTAATTGCAAATCACTATTCATGATAGGAAAACTTCTCGATCGACGGTAAACCTTAAATCATGGCGTTGATTTTAACCGTTCCTTCTTCAGATTC